AAAAAAAAAAAAAAAAAAGAACAAACTGATACAATCTTGTCTCCCAAATTCTGTCATTTTATTGTACATGTAAAGAAACTCAGAAACGAACAACAAGGAAAAATAGGAAGAACAAAAACCTCAACTCTCTACAATTTTGTGTTCAAATGGATGTTGTACTGTTAATCAATGGAGAATCTGAAAATGGCAGGCAGTTATCTGTCATTTGGATGAGGATTCATAGTCAATGACCGTCTGAAATGCTCCTGCCAATGCCCTTACCTTGTTCTTCCTCTTCTCCAAAAGCTTACTTGCTGTCTCCTCTATTACATGATTGTACACTGCTGGAGATTCCTTTCTCCCTGGTCCTCCTTGTCGTGGTTTGGCCGCCACCGCTTCTGCTGCGGAGGTGGCGGCGGCTGCCACCTTCTCGGTCGCTTCGGTCTCTTTCTCTGTACTGGTGTGATTTTCTTCCTTGGAACTCTGCCCATCTTCTGCTTCTTTGTGTTCTAAAACAATGACTCCTTCCTGAATGGGAACGGTGTGGCTCTTCTCTTCTTCATTTTTGTTGTTTGTGCTTTCCTCTGATGCAACAACACCAAAAACTTCCTCCTTTTCCACTTCAATTCTCTCTGGTTTCTCCTCTTCTTTAGCTTCTTCTTCTCCTTCCCCTTCATTTTGTTCTCGATTTTCGTCTTCCCGGATCGACGATTTAGCATTATCAGTCTCAGCTGCCCCTGGAGTTTCTTCCACTTTCTTATTAGAACCAACTACTTTGAAGATCTTTGTTTCCTGTATAGGCTGATGATGGTGAAGCCTCTTTTCAACCTGATCAGTAGTACTAAGTTCTTTATCTAATTCAGGCCTTGGATCCGGAAGACATAGATCGAGTTCGCACTCGATCTTCTTTAAGTCCTCCTCATTAGCACCAAGAACTAAAACAGGACTCTGACCTACATGTTCAACAGCATTCTTAGTCTTGGGAACCATTTCTGCTGATGAAGCAGAAGCAGCATTGCTAGATTCTCTCTTCAAGCTTTTCCTTACATTACTACTACTTTTCAATGTTTGAACTGATTGTTGTGTTTTCCCTCCCACCTTGTAGATTTTGGAGCCTGATCTCTCCAAAAAACCAGTCTTTGTAGAGCTCACAATTGAGGTAGAGGGTTTGGCCCCAAAAGAGGAAGACCGGACCGGAGCATGAGCAGCCCTATTCCTCGGTTCAGGCGATCGAAATGGCTTCCCCAAACGTTGCGTAGCCGGGGGCGGTTTGTCAAAAGATCTTCTTCTATTCAAACTAGGCTTGCCCTCGGGTATCGGTGCAGGGCCTCCCGACTTCTTAATCGGCTTAAAGTTATGGTCGTGACGGGAGCTGGCCGTGGATTTGAGGTAATTTGGAACATGTTTCTGAGGGAGGATTGAAAGAGAATGAGTAGAAGAAGAAGATGATGATGACGGTGAAGAAGGAAAGGAAGATAGCTTTTGATCAGTGGAGATGCCTCTAGGAGATGACTTTGGAGTTCTCTTGGTTGAAGTATTAAGATTAGGAATGGTGACAGAACTGGGAGCTGTGATCTTCCTCTCCTTCCCCAAACCACAGCTTTCTTTCGCTCTACTTGTTGCCATTCAGCTGCCTCGGCTTCGAGAGTTCAAGCATTACCTACATTTTCAATAAGATTACGAGATCAGAAGTTCAAATATTATCGAGTTTCTGATGACCAAAATGAAGGTTTTAAAAGTTTGATTTTTAGAAGGAGAATACGAAAGTTGTATTCAGGTTGTAGAAAAAATAAAAGCGCTTTTAAAACACGGGAACGGATAAGGGTTTCGAAGTGAAAGTATCCTACAAAAATATCGATACATGATTTTATGGGTCCGTTTGGTGCTAAACGAGAATAGATAAAGGTTTATACTCGTGAAAATAATGTATTCTCCTACCTTATAATTTTATTTTGAACTAATTGATCATGGTTTATCAAAATTAATGTAATTAATTATTTAATTAGTATAAATATATATTTAATTTATTTTTACAGATATATAAAAGTTCCAGATGAAATTACTTATTGACTAAAATGATTAGTAATTAGCTAACCGTATGTTAAATAATATTTAATTAGCTAATTGGGATTAAATAAATTACGTCAGTAAAAAGTTAACTTTTAATATTTATAATCAATTAATTATTTATTGGGACTAATTTTAATTAGTTTCATTCATTGTTAATACATCATAATTTTATAACTAATAATAATAAACTTAAATTAAATAATCAAATAGTTATTTAATTAATTTTTATAGATAAAAATACATCAATGAATTAACTTATTTACTAATAATCAGTCATCCAATTAAAATAACTATTTTTAAGTGGATTAAAAAAAATTAATCTATTAAAATTATATATAAGGTTGCCAATATTAATTTCGTAAACTAAATACAAACAAAATTTATTCTTATAAAATTTTGATAAATAACAATTTTGGTAAAACCCGACACACCGACTCTAAAAACCCTAAATCATAAACGAAAAGACTTCTAAAAGGTTAAAAAAAAACACGTTTTACTTTTCTTAAATTCCTCACAAACCAATCGATCAAAACCAACACGAAGATCAATAAACTCGTTCATCTTAATCTCAATAAAGTCTTTCATAAACCCGTTCATCCAAACAAAAATTACACGACAGTTTCAATCGCGTATTCCTTTACACGATTCAAATTTTGAGTTTCTCCCAATCGTATATTTACTCGTTAAAACACAATAAATTTAGCAATACAATATCAAATTACAAGGAAAAAAAAAGCGTATATATAACCAAGATTCAAGAAACGTGACAACTAAAGAAAAAAAAAAAAAAAAAAAAAGAAGACAAGAATTGAAAGCGAACCGAACCTAACTTAGCAGATATAAGACATCCTATTACCTTTCTTGACATCAAAAGTTCGATCCCGAGCTCTACGAGTGTCGTAAAAGGAAGACGATAATCGAAATTCTAGAGAGAGAGAGAGAAACGTACCTTGAGGAAGGAAAGAAAGAAACCATGGAGTGAAGAAAATGGGATTTTAGAGTTTTTGTTTGGTGGAGGCGATTCAATGAGAGCCTCAATTACTCTCAACTGAATCCCTCCCCCACTCCCCCTTTTCTTTTTTCCCTTTTTCTTTTTAAAAATTATTATTTTCTTATTAAAAAATATAAAATAATAAATAAAACACCCCTATTAAAGCCGACCATTACAATCGTTGACTTTCCAAATACAACCCACAGCTTTGACCTGATCCTCTTCTTCTTCCTTTGGTTTCTCCTCGTTTTCAGGAAAAACATCTCCACCATGTCTTCAATTCTTCTCATTTTTAACCCCCAAAAACTTCTGGTCGGTTCATTTTGCAATTATGCCCCTCCATTATTATCAATTTACACAATTTGGAATGTCGAACCGCCCCCGAACCATACGGTTCTGTTTACTGATTCAACTCGAAAAAATATTTATGATATCTTGACTAGTTAACGAGAATGCAATCAAGATTGCACGTTAGCTTTTCTCGGACATATTTTCATGAAACAAAAAACAAACCCATGAAGGTTTATGCTCGAATTCACAATACTGTATCACTGAGGCGATATGTGGATAGTGTCTGTCTCAAACGAGTAATATGGAAACTACTCACTTCTTATTACGGTGTGGAAACTTCCCTAACATACGTGTTTTAAAATCGTCAAACTGACGAAGATACATAACGGCCAAAGCCGACAATATCTACTAGTGGTGACATCGAGCTGTTATAATTCATATATGAGAGACTACTTTTTTAAACGACTTTTTCAACAAAAATTTATTAGAGGAAAAAATTATTATTATTATTATTATTATTATTTTAATTTAAGATCGAAACGTATATAATAAAAATTAATATAATTTGATAATTTTATGGTTAAATTTTGATCTTTCCTCCCTTATTTTTTTAAAATCAATTTTGTTTTTATACATTTTTATAAATAAATAATTTTTTTTTTTTATTTCATGAAGGCATATTCCATCTTGAGAATTTCATCAATGAAAATTATTATTGTTTAATTAAAATTCCCATTGACATTTTTAAATATTAAAAAAAAAAACGTTTAGGTTTGACATCGACATATAAAAATTCAAAATACATTAAAAAAAAGATTGATTATTTATTAATATGAATATAATACACAAATAACTTAATGACTCATATATTTACGAAAATAACAGTTAATATTTATATTTATATTTTATTGATATGTTCATAATTAAAATACCATATTTGATATCAACACCAATAATATTAACTATTTTGGAATTCGAATTTTGGACGGTAAAAATAAAATGGAACTACTAATTTATAATTTATAATTGATATCTTATTTATTAAATTATGGTTTTTTAAAAAAATATATAAAAATTAATAAATTTATATTAAAACTTTTAAGATCATATAATTTGTCCAACATTAAATCTCGAGCTAAAATTAAAAAATTGAGTTAAATAATTTCTTTATTTATTATTTGAGTTGCAATTTAGTATCATTTTTTGAAGTATTTTTTATTTTGTCCCTAAAATTTTTAATTTTCATTTCAGTCCCTATTAACTATATATATATATATATATATATATATATAAATAAATAAATAAATAAAAGTATTGAAATAAACGAATTGTCTCCATACGTCAGTGCTTCCCCACAAATTAATTAGTAGGCAACACGTATGAGAGAGGAAAATCAATTAAAATAATATATTTATATTTTATTTATTTATTTATATGATCATTTGTTTGACCTTTTTGCCATTTGTCCATTCACCAATTTTCTTAATTTTCTTTTGTTTTCATAGGCCTTTAAAATAAATAAAATAAAATAAAATAAAATATTTTCCAACTTTTCAAATCAGTCCTTTTACTTTTTTATTTTTCCAACTTTTACTTTTTATTCTCACGATCTTCATCCTCTTTTGTCCTTATTTGCAATTTTTAAAAAAATTATATACATGAAAATTTAATCAGTAATGTTTTGGATGAACGTTATTTATTGCTTGTTCTGATGAAGAAACGAACAAGCAAATGATTTGTTTGATTTGAGGGAACCTAAAGAATTTATGGAGTTGAATTGTATTCAACCCGAGAAACAAATTCTCAATAGTACGTATAGCTAGTTTGATATAATTCAGTAATTGATATATAATTTTTTTCGAGGTCGGAAGTTCACAGCTCAATGAAGTTTTTTTATAGGGATAAAATGCTATTTTCTCATATAGAAAGGACTGTTCCTCGGAATTTTATCTATATATGCACACTTTTTATGAACGTGTTCATTTGTGAAATTACTAGCTCGTTAATATATGTGGGTCTCAAAAAATTGAGGGTCATATTAATGGATATTTTAAAAGTTTATCTCTCTTAATTAATAAAATTACTTACAAAATTAAAATTTAAAATTTTTTCTTTAATTTATTCATCTTGAACCGGACAAAAATCATGTTAAGTTAGCAACTGCGGGGATCATTGCAATGTTTTGTTTTGTACTAGTTTTGAGTTGACTATTCTCAATCGTCTTCGATCAACACGTAGCGACCTGATTTCATCGTGGGAAAAACTTGAGCAACCATTTTTAAATTGAAATATAATTTTTTTAAAAAAATATATTAAAAATACTTAGCAAATATTAATTCAATAATATTTTACACCAATTGAGTTAAAAAAAGATTTACCATTTAAATAATTGAATTTAATCTTAAAAAATGTATAAACTTGATTAATATAAACTCATGACACTCAATTCTAGAATTGAAATATAATGAATATAAATTTAAAATATATAATAAAATGAATTATGTAATTAATTTTCTATCTCGATAATTTTAAATTTATTTAAATTTGAAGATATATCTTAACTGCGTTTAACTTGGACTTGCTAAATTAATTTTAGGTTAATTAGGTTAATTTAGGTTTAATAGTTTTTAGGTTAATTTAGACTTTAGTCCCTAAATTAATTTTAAAAAATTTATAATAAGTAACCAAATTTATAATTTAATAATTCATAAGTTATTAAATTTTAAATTTTATATCTAATAATTAAATTAACGACTAGGTTAACAATTTTAGTACAAATTTATTAAATAATAAATTAATACGTTAAAAACATAAAGATTGATACTTAATTTTGATTGATTTTTTTTTTTCTAAAATGGATTTAATTTTCACGATTATGAAAGTAATTTTATTAAAAAATTAAATAAATAATTATTTAAACGAGATGATAATTTGCGTCTAATCCACTTAATCATAAACACATCCAATTTATAGTATAAAATTGATTAATTATTTGATATTATAAATTAAATGTGATCTTATCCTAAGTTTTTTTTTTTTTTTTTTTTTGGGATAATTTGATTCCGTTACGCCACTTCATATAAGGCCAAAACTCGTGCCTTGATCATCTCACCAAGTCATGTCAAGTCCCAATCCCGTTATCCTTCACAAACTATATTTGTACTTATATTATTTATTACATTTTTTTTCATTTTTTAAATAATATATTGTATTATTAATTTAACAGGTTGAGTTATATATAAATATATATATATATATATAGAAAACCAAAATTAGTAAAGTGGGAAACAACTTTGGCCATCTTAATAATAATTGGTTGCCGCTTTCCAGCCAAAATAGACCATTTAATCAAATTGTTATATACTTATTAATCATACTACCTACCCTATGTTATGCCCCACCTATGCCCTTTTACCTATTTTTATAAAAATTGAGTATCGGGCCGAATATGATATTGTCCATTTTAGACATAAACTACTGTGTAAGTGTAATTGATGCTCGAGTTTAGATATTGAATGGGTTTATCTTAATCTTTTTGCGTAACAGCTCAAACCCACCGCTAGTAAATATTGTTTTCTTTGAGCTTTCCCTTTCAGGTTTTCCCTCAAGGTGGTTTTAAAAACACGTCTGTTAAGGAGATGTTTCCATACCCTTATAGAAATGTTTTGTCCTCCTCTCCAACCAATGTGGGATCTCACAATCCACTCTCTTTCAGGGCTCAATGTCCTTGCTGACACTCGTTTATCTCTCTAATCAATGTGAGATCTCACAATCCACCCTACTTCGGAGCCTGGTATCTCTAATGGATGCGAGATCTCAGAATCCAGGGTACAACGTTCTCGCTGACACTCGTTCCTTTCGACAATCCACCCCCTTTCGAAGCATAGGTCCTTGTTGACACTTGTTCCTCTCTCCAATTGACGGGGGATTTCACATCTTGTGTCTAATCTTTATAAATCAATTACGACGTTGTTACTCTGAAGATAAGACAAGACAAGACATGCACTCTTGATCTATCTTTATCAAAAGGTTAAAAGTTCGAATTCTCGACACTCTATGTTCAACGTAAAAGTTTCTTAGAAAAGTAATAAAAAAAAATCACGAAGATATTATCTACGTACAAACTTAAAAACTTCTCCAGTAGTACGTGCTCGGTGACTATAGTCGTATTTTTAGGTTTTTACCTTGATAAAAGAGGCAAAAATAATGTTATAACCATGGGTAGAAATATGGTGAATATTCTTTATGCTTCTCTTAAGAAAGGGATATCCTTCTCCTTTCTTGTTCCTCAAGAAATGGGCTTCCCTCCCTAAAAATGGAACTGTAATCATATATACTAATGTGGGTTGCTTTTATTGTATACAAATATAATTAAAATAAATAAATAAAAATATATATAGTTGGTAAATTATGGTACACGCGTTTGGCACGTGAAATTACACCAAATTTTGACAAACATGCATTAACTTCCATCCAACATTTAAAGGCTTTGCAACGTTTCTTCACTTGCTTTCTATGCACTTCTTACCGTTTTTGTTCGGTTTTATTTTATTTTGGTTCATATATTTTTAAATATTTAAATTTTATTTATATATTTCCAATATATCTTTAAATTAGTCGTTTAAAATTAATTATAAAATAGTTATAACGATAATAAATTTATATACGAATATCAACCGATTAATGGGAAGCGGGCTAGTCCCCGAAAATGCTCATTCCTCTGATGTTGGGACTGACAAAGTGTGAAGCGATCTCGTACTAAACGAAACGACTTTCACTTTCCATAACCAAAATGCAAGATAGTCAACCTATTCTTACCATTGTCGTATAAGAAATAAATTTTATTTTAAAATATTTATTCTTCGCTGTAAAAAAAACGTTAACAACAATTATACTAAATTTAAAAAAAAAAAAATATATATTATTAATTTTAATCAAATTTCAAAAGAAAAAAATTAAAAGATTAAAAATTTTTATTTTTAAAATCAAGATTACCGTCTTGTCATGTTCTTAATCAATGTTTGTGAACATTTATTTAATGTTTGTCACACGTGTGAAATTAAATAAATTTATTTGAAGACACGTGCAATGCTCGCGATTAAAAATTTTGTAAACAAAATTTTTATGGTAAATTTTAAACGGTAAATTAATCTAAGAATTTTCGAATTTTTACCGTAAAGTATAAACTAATGTACTTTTTATACTTATGGTTAATATTTTGCATGAAATTTAAAAGTGACGAAGAAGTAAAAATAAAAAGATAAAATTAAAATATATGTTCCATAGAAATTAATTAATTGATATTTATCTAAAATATAATATTATAGATTTTGGGTAAGAATTTGAACCTCTATCAGCGTCATATATTTTATTTTATTTATATTATAACCTCTATCAGCGTCATATATTTTATTTTATTTATATTATAATATAATATACAATTTAGTAAATAATAAATAAATAATAATAATAAAACCCAAAAAAGGAAAAGGGAGGAGGGGAATAATCCTAAAAATAAAATAAAGAAGAGGATTAGATAAGAGGCTAAAAGCCACCCAAAAGGAAAAGAAAAAAAAAAGAAAAAAAGAAAAAAAGGAAAAAAAAAAAAGAAAGAGGCGGTAGGCGGGCCAGCTGGTGAGGTGGGGGCAGAGCGTCTCTGTTCCTTACGGTCCACAAAAATGGAGCCTCTTTGAAGATGACGTTGCAGCCGTTCACAGCCATTGATTCTTGATCTCAATCCAACGGCTCATATTTCCCCAGTTCCTCTCTCTCTCCTCTTCTCTCGCTCTATTTTTTATTTTATTATTATTATTATTATTGGTATTTGGACGGCACCACTATAGAGTTCTTCGGTTCGCCTCCGTTTTCTTTCCCTCTGTTCTCTTCTCGCCTCCTCTTTTTCCATTTTTTTTTCTTCCAATGAATTATCGTTGATTTGATTGTATTCGGATTGCAAATCGATAAAGGCTTTCGTCCTCGGATCATTCGTACACGTTTTTGCACCTATCTCATCCCTTTTTTTCATCTTTTTCTCTAAGAAATCTAAGCCTCCCTCCCTCCCTCGCGGAATATAGTTCTTAAGCTTCTCTAGTTCTTCCTCGCTTGGATTGTTCTAAGCAGTACCACGACGAAACCAGGTAGAGGATTAATTATAAGCCTCACTGTTGTGTTTGTTTCCTTTTTTTTGAATTATGAGTTCCGTTTCTTGCTTCGATTGATGTTTCGGATTTTGTCATGGTGAGCGATTCTCAGATGATGCCAATAAGAATTGATTCTGTTTTCTATTTTGTCGAATTCATGGTGTTTTGGGATTTAGGTGTTGTTCTTTGAATCTCTTTTCGGCCTTACGAGACCACTTTCTGGTAGTTCTGACATGAATTTGATTCTCTGTTTTCATCAGCTTAATTCTGAATTTCGTAAAATCTATTAGGCTTGCTCTTTCCTTTTTTTTGGAATATTGGATTGTTCGTCACTCAGCTTTGTTCAAGAATTTTCTTATGGGGTGTAAACTGAAGCTGTAAACTAATCTTGGTTTTTTCTTTTCTTTTTTGTTATAGTTTTTTCAAGCCCTTAAATCGCTGAGCTATTTTGTTTTTGAATATGAAGTGAGCTTTATGTATAGAACAATGAAGAATAACTTTATACTGGGGAAAAAAAATTATAGGCTTCACTTTTTGTGGGGATGGATTTCGAGCACCTGACATGCAGATTCCTTTACCTTTCTTCTGCTTCTTTTGGTTTTCCTCTTTGTATTTTGACTTTAATCAAATTATCCCCGTTTTTGTTCGCTTACTTGGATTGATTTGATCAACTTCATATTAAAATAGACCGTAATTAAATTTGTTTTATTGGAAGTGCTAAGTTGTTTGTTTATGTTCATACCCAAGTAAGTGTTTCTGTATCGTGGATGACCTTCTTATTGATGTTTTTTGCTATCATCGTTATTGAAGATTGGGTTGATTCATTGCCATGGATGCTCTAGATTGTAATTCTTGGAGGAGAGGAGCACGGTGGAATAATATCTGTGGATTTGAAACTTAGGATAGTTTCTTGTCTTGTTTGTTATGTTTATACCTATTGATTTAAAAGATGAAAAGATGTTTGAATGTTACACAATTTAGTCATAGTCTAAGAAGCACGGATATGGATATGACACGACATGGACACGGACACGGTCACACGTCATTGTTTTAAAATCTAGGACATGAACATGGAAATTACATGTTTATTGTGCCAACGAGTGTTCAACAAGTGTCGGAGTGTCCAAGTCTTTGACACATGTTGAACATTGACACCGTGAGATCCCACATCGGTTGGAGAGGGGAACGAAACATTCTGTGTAAGGGCGTGGAAACCTCTTCCTAGCAGGCACATTTTAAAAACCTTGAGGGGAAGCCCATAAGGGAAAACTCAAAGATGACAATATCTAGTAGTGGTGGGCTTGGGCTGTTACAGACATGCTAGTGAAATTAAAGTGTTCGTGTTTCTTAGGTCATAGTTGTAGCTTTAGTTTCAACCCAGGCTTAGAGGAAAGAAGCTAAGCAGTATTTATTTGGATTTGAGAAACAATACCTTTCAATACTCTACAATTTTATCTGTTGATTTCGTCCCGGTCTCCGATGACTTTTGACAAGTTATTATTGATTGTATTCAAATTATATGCTATTATTTCAAAATTGGACTGCAGCTAGCACTGGTTTGTTCTTCATCCACTTTGTTTCTGAGTTGCCTGCTTGACTTCGTAAATTTTTTTTTTTTTTTTCAACTTCTCACTTTGGAGCTGGTTGTTGCAGTGTTGAAGCACCTGCAATTTATTGTAGATGGATGAATACCCTAGTAAAAGAGTTGCTAATGGATACACATCCAGAAGGGGACCCAGTGCAGTTATGAGAGATACTGCAAATAGCAGGGACCAAGATGGTAAATATTGTAGCCGAATTGGCTGCAGTGGCAGACTAAATTCCCCAAGGAGCACGCGGAGTAGCTATTCAGAGAAGCTTAAATCTCCATTGCAGTCTTTTCGAACCTCTTCAAGTGGCAAAGAAATAGCTGGAAGTTCCTCTCGAACTTACTATGCTGTTAGAGGTTCCAAGAAATCTGTAGCTGAAACTCAGAGAAAACGACCGACCCAGTTAGAAACAGACTCTTCAGAAACTAGTAGCACTCAGGATGATTCAGAGATTTCACAAGGCATCCCATCAAATGAAAGGATACGAAAAGGTCTTCATGTTAGTCTTAAAAGTTCCGATTCCACCGATGACACAGTGATGGAACCACGAAGCTCCAGTGTTGCTCCAAACACAAGAGGACGAAGGGATTTCAATCAAGGTTCTGGAATGCGTAATAAAGACACACTGGCAAGTTCTTCTGTGTTGATGGGGTCTAAAAGTTCTCGCCCGACATCACGTGGTGGTGCAGGTAGGCATACCTTGAGAAATTTCAGATGTAATTCGATATCTGATGTCATCTCATCGGGTTGTTCTTCATCAGATCCAAATCTTAGTAAACTGAAGGATACAGCAAAGAAAAGGAATTCTGAAGCGGAAAGTAGCTCTACAAGAGGAAAGAAAATGAACGGATCATCTTCAGAAAGAAGGATTACTAGCTCTGGTTATGGCGTTTCTATATCTGGTTCAAGAGCAGCCAAAAATGGAACTTCTAACAGGGAAAATGGTATTGCATCAGTTCGGTCTAGGACATCAATTAATGGGACGTCAAGAGCAAGATCACAAAGCAACAGACCCGACAGAAACAGTACATCTTTGCACGAGTCCCGGTCCATGATCTATCAGGAGTCGCAAGACCATCAACCTGAAAGCTCTGTTGATAATAATGCACATGAAGTCTCTACAGAGTTGATTTCAGATCACCCAATTTCTTACAGAAGGTCAGATAGTATGAATGAGAATATACTTAGTCATAGACCTGCTAGTCCTGCAGAAATCGGTTTGACTCGCTCTTTAACAACTCGAGATAGCTTTCGACACTATGTTATTGCAGAGGTACATTTCCATATATTGCAATTTATTTTGTGAAGATCTATCAAAAGAATACTTCACTTTCTCGGTCTAGTCCACGTCTCTAATTTAAAAAGGTGCATCTTGCTTTTTAAGGTATTGTTGGCGCTTGAAAGGATTGAACACGAAGAAGAGCTAACATATGAGGTAGACAGTTCCTGATGTTTTGTCTTGTTTGTTTTATTCATTCACTACAATTTGAGCTAACATCTAATTTTCCCTGCAGCAAGCAACTCTTTTAGAGACCAACCTTTTCCTTAGTGGCTTAAACGTCTACGACCAGCATAGAGACATGAGGCTCGATATCGATAACATGTCATATGAGGTTTGCTGTTTTCTCTAGAAATATTGTGTTGCTCCCTTTCAGATCAATTGTATCCAAATCTGTCTCATCTTTCCTGCCTTGTTGATGTTATAATGAATCATTTCTTCTCGTTACGCAAAAAATTCGTTCTAAGTTTCCTTTGGGGAGTTGTGTTTTAGCATATATAATACTACTCATAACCGTGCGTTGTGTCGGCTGTTCTTGTATCAACTATTTTGTGATGCTTGACAGGAATTACTCGCTCTAGAAGAGAGAATGGGAACTGTGAGCACAGCAGTTACTGAGGAAGCATTGTCACAATGCTTGAATAGAAGCATATATCAGTCTACACATGCAGAGGATACAATTGCCGGTGGCAGTGAGTACGAGGATAGCGTCAAATGCTGCATCTGCCAGGTCTGTTTACACTAGCTGCTTGTTCTGAACCTTTGGTTATACCATAAAGTTAGAAACCAAAAAGGGAAAATACCCACTAAACCAATAGGGAAAATAGCCACGAATCAACCATACTTAAGCTTAGCTTTGAGAATGTTGGAACTGAGGCTGCAAAAATCCTGAAATGTGTGCCAGGGAACTAATTTGTTCTCCAGTTATGTTATAGGTTACCATAATGTCAGGATTTGCGTGCATTTACCAATATATCTGACATTATGGTAATGTATAAAATAACCGGATAACATTGTGGTTCAAAGTTCAGCTGTTTTCTATTCTAGAATCTCAACTTTTGAACATTTTTGGTCTAAAATCGTACCAAATTTGATGATTTTTTTTTTTTTTTGTAAGATGCGTTAGGGTATAAAAAAAAGAAACAAAGCTTCCAAAATAATGTCAATTTTAATGCTTCAACTCCCATTCAACTCATAGTTTTGGTCCTTACCATAAAACCCTATTGAGTTTACGATGCTATACCATTTCAAACAAGATGTCTCTCTTATAAGAGATATGTGTAGTTTAAGAGGAGATGAAGGAATAGGAACCTAAATAATAGGCAACCTCGGTGGTTGATAGGAACCTCGAACCTTTGTTGAAAGTGGCTAAAAGTTCAGAGGTCAAACAATACAAGGACGAAAACCATATTCAAAACTACCCGAGTTTCTTGATCATTCACATTTTTTAATATGAAATCCACACTTCAAGCAGTTAAGTAACAAGGTGTTTTGACTTCTATTTAATTACAGGAGGAGTACTCAAATGGAGATGAAGTTGGGATGCTGCGATGCGAGCATACTTACCATGAAGGGTGTATACAACAGTGGCTGCAGCTGAAGAATTGGTGCCCCATATGCAAAGCATCTGTGGAGGAACCTGCTTCGGCGCCTTCATAATTTGTTTGATTGAGTCCAACAGATAAAAGAAGAGGAGGATTAATCTTCTCCCTTCACCCAAGATTTATTGTACATAGCAAATTTGTTCTATTTAAACTTAATAAGCACAGGCCAACTTTTGGCTTTAGAAGTCCAAACTCAGTCTAATCTGTGAATGAAATCTCTCCTCATGTTCAACCGTCCTTTTCAATTCTCAGTACGTTCATTTACTGAACTTTCTAAATTGTTTTGAAAGGAGTAAGAACTAAGGATGCTTTTCGCTCCTGGATTTCTATTCTAGTTTCATTTTCTTTGTACTTTCCCTGGATTTCTATACTAGTTTCTACCTAAATATCTGGATTCGAGTAAGAACAGTTGATAGAACCACCAAGAACTGGGAATATGAGACATGTGCAAAGAAGTTCTATTAGAAACAACCAAGGGAAAACAAAAGTTGAAGCAGAATCGAAGTGTGGCTGACTATTGCATTATAAATGTGGAACATTTTGGACACAGATCTTTAGAGAATGGAAATGCTATATCATTTTATAGCATCTGCATCTTTCTATCTAACAAAGAAAAAAAGAAGCATGAAATACAGAGGATACTATCTGCAGATTGTTGTCTGTTGATGAGTTATTCATATGAAATGAAATCAATTCTAAGATTTAAATACACAAATAGGAACACTAAGTTCTTGCACCAGTAATTACCTCTCACCAAGCTACGAACTGTATCTCTGCAAAATTTTGTATATTTCCTCGATGATCGAATTTACACGAAAAGCTTGAGATCCTTGAATCATGGCTGCAGCCTGTCGAGATGTGAAGCATCACTGATGGGGATTCTGACTGACAGCACCCAAGCTTAGTCACAGTTAAATGATTCTTAAGAACAAACGTCTGTTTGATGTTCGATCAGCTTGTCATACTTGCAAGCCAGAGATTTTATCAAATTTTGAGCAATATGGGTACTCACAATTGAGAAGAGCTGAGAGATCTTTGAGATCCATTCTCGACCCCACTGGACCGTGTGAACCGTGACAGGTGAGCCAAACCGATGTTGGGATAAACAGAAATACCAGTCTTTTCATTCCGTGAATGCACGCATACTAATTTTCTCCAGTAGCAGAGGCCAGTCTTCCCCAAGTTGCTTTGGGTTAAGCTCCATTGCTACCTTGAAGTCGAGCAACGATATCGAGCAGTGTAATCTGCGCTCGTGCACAACTTCTCCATTTCCATTGCTATGTAGCCTGTGTAATTGATTATTTGGCAACATGCCATTGATAACCTTCCCCTGAATTTGCTGGTTATGGGCAAGAGGCTTCTCAGGCTCAAATGCAGGCCATGCTCCAACCAAGTCAACGCAAGACCTGATTAACTGCTTCAAATATACATCCAACACCTTGTTCAAAATATTAGCACAATCTGCAGAAACACTGCCTAGGCCCTGTACTGCAGCAATTTGTTCCATGCGTCGTCTCAACGACTCAGTATCCAACAAATGACCCATATCACTGAAGCTAAAATTGCCCCCACAATCCACAGGCCTTGTTTTGTGAGCCCCGCCGATACTAGCTGAGCAAAAAGGAATCCCAAGAGGTGCAAGTAATCGACTCCGAAGTAAACTCGATCGATTTGACTGTCTCGCTTCTTCCCTGTCTTCAACCTGCATCTGTAGAACTTGCTTCCCTGATGGTCGCTGAACTCTAGCCTCAATGTTGTTTTCAGGTAGTTCAAAAACTCCTTGCAGATGCTGCACTGGTCTCTGATAGTCACACGAAGTTGCATTGCCATTATCCATCATGATCCTACAGCTGCCATCTTCCTTGCATGCTGATTGAGGTGAGATACATTCAACCTTCAAGTTTGGCGCAAGTAGACTCGGCCTATCTTTGAGCTTGCGGTCGCGTATCCCAGACCTGCACTTTCTTGGGGACACAGGAAAACCTTCATTGGACCAAATGGGAATACCTTGAGTGGAAGTAGGAAAAACAGCTCCACCATCCTCATTCCCATCTTCTATGACAGGGGAAATTTTTGCAGCTTGCGTCGAAGTTTTCGGATAGCCTGCTGCAGGTATCGGTGGTGCAGCCTTAGCTTGACAAGCATTCTTCAAAATTGACTGTATCAATTGATTATGCAGCCAAAGATTCTCCCTCCCAAGTACACGACAACATAACTTATCAAACTCATTCTTACTCAGCTTTTGACTCAAGAACCTATTCAAGTAAAAGAAGTACCGTTTCGACCGATCAGTTCCGAGCTTCTTCACTATTTGAGATTTCAGTTCACACAAGTCAATTCTCAAGCTCTGCTGAGGTTGCATTTCTCAGCAGACAGATTCACACACCCTTCACAAATCACTCAATTCCAGACACGGAGAGAAGCACAGTCACTATTCAAGTTCACCGAAACAAGAACAAGAAACAACACACAAAATTTTCACTTCCACATATCAGTCAATGCAGGTTAACCTACAAGAGTCAGCATGATTTGAGCAAATTCCTAAAATTCATCCCCACCAGATCAAGTAAATCCGGAAATAGATTTGAACAGAACTGCAGCAATCATATTTCCAACTGATCATTTTCCTTTCCCAGCTACAAAGCACAGAATGCAACTCCAAATCGCAACTTCTCACACCACAACCCTAGAAGTTAAACTCACTACATGGCTCACTAAATCCCGCCAAATTTTCAAACACCAAATCAAACCTATTGCAAAACAATCGCAAATCAAAACCCTAACTTCGAAACAAACAAACTCAAGTTCAGAACACGGGGAAAAAAAAATCAACAACTACCGAGAAACGCGTATTGAGTCCACAAACCAATACAAAAACATCATTCCTTGAGCAAAATTCACAACCTCGGAAGTTCGAAACACGGAATTTCGCAGTCAAAGAAAGAGATCAGTGAGTTCCGCGAAGTTGAATAGTGTGAACAGAGCACAAATTGCAGAGATATTAAGCACATTGAATCTCGCCGACTAAGCTCAATAGCATTTGAACAACAACAGCATAGGGATTGCTTCAACTCTGACCTTCGACGAACTCGACAAATTGAAGAGAAATTGAAGCTGAGTGGCTCAGTTCGAATCTTCGGAGCTTCGAACTTTCGTTTGCTCTCTCTGTCCTTCAACCTCTCTCTCTCTCTCTCTCTCTCTCCTCTTTTCTCTCTCTCTCTCTCTCTCTCTCTCTCTTATAATTTACTTTTTATTTTAAATTTTTTTTCTGATTAATTTTCGAGGTCTGCTTCTCCATAGCTATCCATAATCTGCAATTTCCTCTTCCCCTTCTTCTTCTTCACTACCTCCTCAACAGCTTCCTTTATTTATTTATTTAATTATTTTTTATTTTAAATTATGTAATTAAAATTATATTGTGAATTTTCCAATAATTTCGAAAATTACCCTTTTCATTTATTTTAGTAACAATATTTATATATATTATGATATAAAAAAAATTTAATGGATAGTTTTTATTTTTTAAAATAATTTATATTAAAAGATGTAAAACATCTTATTTTTAAAAAATTAATATAATTTTAATTAATTTTAAATAGAAAATGGTAAATTATTTTAAAATAAAATTGGTTGGATGTGGATGTTTGAATTTTCGTTTTTTCATATTGAAATTGTAATCTAGAAAAAACGGCGGGTATCCCGAAAAGCAAACGGCGGGTATATTTCAAAGCCCTAATTTACGTGCCGGGAAAACCCGCCCAAAATTTGCTGCAGTTCACTGGGCGCCAAGTGCGAAGCTTCTTTTCTCTCTCTTTCTCTCTCTCCTTTTTTTTTTTTTTTTTTTTTTTTTTTTTTTTTTTTTTTTTTTTTTTTTTTTTTTTTTT